CTGGGGTGGGGTGATGCTACAAAATTCTACAAACCTCTCTGGGTTTGATTGCTACAAAATTCAACAAACCTCTCTGGGTTTGATTGATTTGAGACAAGCTGTATCCAGCTAGTAAAAGACTATTTTCTTGTGCTGCATTAAGAACTCAGTATACATTTATCAGATGACTACCATATGGAATATACTATATTAACTACCACAGGCCTCAAAAAAATGGGCAACTGTGGTATGATCCTTTTTTTTTTTTTTTTTTTTGAGACAGGGTTTGTCTGTAGCTTTGGAGCCTGTCCTGGAACTTGCTCTGTAGACAAGGCTGGCCTCGAGCTCACAGAGATCCACCTGTCCCTGCCTCCCAAGTTCTGGGATGAAGGGTGTACGCCGCCACTGCCTGACTATGTATACTCCTTTTTCTTTAAAGGAGTCAAACTTATAAAACCAAAAAAACTGAAAAAAACATGTGTGTAGACACTGTAGGTATCAGTGACAGTAAATGGTGGGTGATAATAACTCAGAGGTCACTACATGCATGCTTGGAAACTATTAAAAAAAACTTTTTTAAGACACTATCACATAATATGACCTTGAAGAATAAATAGAATTTCAACACAGAGAACTGAAAACACAAGAATCCAGGGTATCAGTGTCATAAAAACAGGGACTTACCCTGACCCCTGGCTCAGATAGCTGGTTCCATGGTATATAAATTGAATATGCAAGATAAAAATACCAGAATCCTTTTCAATCCCTACCTTTTATTCAAAGAAAAAGTATAAAAAAAATCCTGAGTAAGACTGTAAGAGGAATGTAGCCACGCTGTTTTTTGTAATTATTTGGTGGAAGAGTCAAATCTTTAGAGACCTGTTGTAGGTCAGCTCAGTCCTCTCATGACCCACTGTGGTGGATTCCATGGACAGTGTCCTGAGATGCTCTATGATAGCTCTTGAAAAAGAAACATCTGGCCTGGGAACTGTGTCAGCAAAAGAAGAAAGTTGATTCTTGGGTTATGAAGAGGCTGCTTAAACTAGCTGCACTGTGGGAGCCCTCTCCACCCCCCATTAGTAATGCATGTGTGTACCTGAAGTGAAATCATCCATTTGTAAAAGGTAGATATGATGAAGTCAAGTCAAAGTCAAAGTAAGAAGAATCACATAGGCCCAAAGGATACATTACAGTTCTAATCTATGATACAAACTTGATTAAGAGGCCTTAACCTTCAAGGATAGAAATGTCTGGACTAAGAGAGCTATTGATATATCCAGAACAATGGAAGGGGAAGTATAAAAAGCAGAGCACGATGAATATTTAGAGCTCCATGTATGGAGCACTACTGTTTAGTCACTCATAAGAATGAAACCCCATCACTTGTAGTAAAGCGTGTGTAATTGGAAGATATTAACTTATATGAACCAGCACAGCCAAAAAAATGCTGCACATAATGTCATATGGGCGATGGTGGTGCACGCCTTTAATCCCAGCACTCGGGAGGCAGAGGCAGGCAGATCTCTGTGAGTTCAAGACCAGCCTGGTCTCAGAGCTAGTTCCTGGATGGGCTCCAAAGCCACAGAGAAACCCTGTCTTGAAAAACAAAACAAAACAAAGCAAAACAAAAAAAAAATGTCATATGTTGAATCAAACATTTCCACCTGAATGTGCTCTCACGCTCATGTCAGATAGACAGGGTGAGGGAAAGTGGGCACAGGGAGGCTGCATTCCAACAGTGTGTGTTGTGGGCATCTGTGGAGCAATGAAACACTAAATGTCAGTAACACGTACAGTTAACACACAGTAATTGAAACCTAATAAGAGACAACAACAAAGAAAAAGACCATCAACAACTGAGAAAGCATCCAGAAAGTGAAAGAAAATAGAATATCATATATAAGCAGAAGAACTTCTCAACATCAATATGTAGTGGAACAATCAGAAAACATTAATTCAGAACTCACAAAGGTTAATTGAAAATTTATTTCCATAAACCTATTTCCATGGTTTTGTTGCAAATTTTGTGTTAGTTTACAAAAGAATAAATTTCATTGACTGTCTGAGTCAGTGTTTAATTGCTGTGAAGACACACCATGACCATGGTATCTCTTACAAATGAAACATTTAATTGGGGTTTGCTTGCAGTTCAGAAGTTTAATCTGTTATCATCATGGCATGGAGTATGGCAGCTATGAGCACAGACATGGTGCTGGAGAAATAGCTGAGAGTTCTACAACCCGGTCTGCAGGCAGCAGGAAGAGAGTGATACTGGGCCTGCCTTGGGCTCTTAAAATCTCAAAGCTCATCCTCAGTGACACACTTCCTCCAACAAGGCCATGCCTGCTAATCCTTTCAAATAAAGCTGCTTCCTGTTGAGGAAGCATTCAAATCTATGAGCCAATGGAGGGAGCATTCCCATTCAAACCACCACACTGACTTCCATCAACAGTGTATTAACTTCAAGAATTCTAAGAATAAATATGCTATAATACTTCATTGTATGTCAAAAATTACATAAATAATCTTGAAAGCAGTAAAATATCATGCCTTTAAATTTTATGTTAATTTTTCTAAATAATATTTGTTACTAAAAGCAATAAACTATGCCTTTTCCTCACAAAATCATGCAAAACCACTATTAGATTATGACTATTTTTGAATTATAGGCCACCTCTGTTTCTAAAATTGATTTGCAAATGGTTTAAAACTGTAAATATATATATAATATCATATGATATACAATATATAATATCATACAATATACAATAATACAAATAGACAAGGTACCAACAATTTGTAAATCAATAGGTAAAGGATAAGTGAGGTTTTAACATATTATCATTTTACTGTTTTCCAAAATAACAATTTTCAAATTCTGCCCTTAAAACAAACTAGGCTGGGGAGGAGATGGAATAGAAAAGAAATGAGAGGAAGAAAAGAAACCTCTCAAGAATCCCTCACAGTAGAAATTACAAAAGAAACGTTCATCCAAATGGTGAAGTCAGGATGATGATTAATCTGTTATAAGGGAACTCTGGTAAAGAGGTCTTAGGAGCCAGGCATGGTGGATCATATGGCAGAAGGGATTACTAAGAGTTTGAGGCCAGTGGGGGCTACACAAAGACAATAATTAGGAAAACCTGTTCATCTTCAGAAGACCGTGTGAACCAGAGCACAACAAAATAATAGAGGACAAGCCGGGGCGGTGGTGGCGCACGTTTTTAATCCCAGCACTCCGGAGGCAGAGGCAGGCGGATCTCTGTGAGTTCGAGGCCAGCCTGGTCTACAAGAGCTAGTTCCAGGACAGGAACCAAAAAGCTACGGAGAAACCCTGTCTCGAATATCCAATAAATAAATAAATAAATAAATAATAGAGGAAAGGGCTGTAAAAGAATTGCATATCAAAGAAGAGCCAGAAAAATAACTCCTACCACCTTGTTGACACAAAACCTTCAGTAGTAATTCATATTTAAATCACTTATTGTACTATAACTGATTTTTAATTGCAAAACTTGATTAATGAATACTACTCTGATAACTTTGGAATATCTCATTTAAAAATTAAATATTAGCTAAATTAAAATACTTTTTAAAAATCTCATGGAAGAACTCATATGTCCCAACAAAAATATGATGATATCAAAATGAATGAAACAGTTAAAAACATGGACTTTAGACTCAGAATATGTTATGCATAAGTTGCAACATCAAATAAAGAAAGCTTGGCTAGAAGAAATAAAAAATTTTTTTTTTAATTTAATAAAGTCCTTCAGTGGTAAAATACTACCCTTCAGGTTACTTGGTTTTAAAATTTTAATCAAGATAGGTATGAAAAATTTAACAATTATTAAAAATTTGCAATTTTCTGTTCTAGTGTCTGGCATAAGATAAAAGAGACTTATAAGTCTCTGGAGTGAAGTAATGGTATGGACTTGTTGGATTGAGTGGAAGCATGTTTCATGGAGAAAAATCTATCCAGCAAAGTTCTAGAAGCCAAAGTAGGGAGCAGTCAAGATGAATGGATAGGGCTCAAGTCAATGACCACAACGAGAAATAAAACTGAATTGGTCACATAGTGATTGATAGCTGCAACAAGTAATTTCCAATTGCTTGCACACTCTAGGATGACAAATCTCCAGTCATTTTGTCACAGTAATTTACTCAAACATGGCACACAACATTACTTATGAGATTTAAAAACAATAAAGTTTACAACAAACTAAAATTACTTTAATCACTTTAATCTCCCATATTTGCTTTTATTTGTTTGCAATAACAACCTATTTTATGCCTGAAACCTCATCACAATTTAAGGACCCTGTACCTTAGGTTTTCTGTCTTAATAATGATGGTTGTTACGTGAAAACAGTACTTTGAATAGGAGTGTGTGTGTGTGTGTGTGTGTATGTGTGTGTGTGTGCAGGTATGTGCTCATAACTTCAGGTACCAACTGAAGTCAGTAGAGGAGAGCCACCTAGAACTGGGGTTATTCCCAACACTGGGACCTGAACATAGATTCCTCTGTAAAAAGAGCTAGCATTCTAGCTCCTGAAAATAATGTTACAAAAAGAAAGGATTACATCTAATTTCCTAACTTGTCTTTATTATATATTAAAATTTTAAATGACTCTTAAAATAGGCATTTCCATGTTTTTGATAGATTAAAAGTTTAATTGACAAGTACTAAGCCTTCCCAATATATATTTCACTTTTTATAAATTTTTCATACAATATATTTTGTTCATATTCTTTGCCCTCTCCCAACTACACCAAGAACCCACCCCTTCCTTACTTACCCAACTTCAATTTTTTTCTTTTTAAGAAAAAAAAAATCACATATGTCACCAAAAAGGACAGAAAAAAACTGCAATATTTTTCATCATGTGGAAATTGTAAATATATTCAAATATAACCAAGCATGGAAATTAACCCAGGCTTATGGGGCATAAATCGTCAGAAAACAAAAATTATTAAAGCAGACCGATTTGTAAAAGTTACTTTATTGGCGTCTATTTCAGGGGTACGATGACGGCTATGGGGGTGAATATGATGACCAGACCTACGAGGCTTACGATAACAGCTACGTGACCCCGACACAAAGGTAAGGTGTTTGCCGGCTCGTCACTTTTCCAGGAGTTATCACTGCTCCAGGTTGTATTATACATGTGAATTACAGTTGTGTGAAGGTTTCAAGTAGTTTTCTTATCTCCATTACCTGTCCACGTTATGAAATTACTTACTAGACCCCAAGAGGTACCCTATAGCAACTCTGATGGTAACTCCTGAACTACCAAGAGGGAAACAATAGCATGTAACTTGAGACAGGGTGATTAGCATACAATGAACTCATTAAACAAGCTTATACTTAAGGAAGCACTACTGCTTACAGACTTTATTTTAATGAACTTTTTATTTCATTAACAAGGCAGGCACTTGCTCAATGCGGCTATTTAAAAAAAAACTAATCTGTAATTTTTACTTGAAAAATCACAAGGACATCTTATCGGTAAGCTGAAAATGGGCAATTAGAAAAAATATCTCCAAGAATAAAAAAATCCTTTTCTCTTTTCATCAATATCTGTAAATTGCTCGATATCTCTTTACACTGAGCTAGAATTAGTGATGTTGATAAATTTGTACTACTGGAAAGTCAGATTTTGACATATTGCTTATAAATGATAAAACTTAACCATTTAGGGCTCCATTGTATGAAGCCCACAAATGTCAGCTACCGTGTAACCAGCTCCATAAATAACATATCTGTAGAGAAGCCCATCTGCCCGAAAGGTTCTTTGTAATTATGGTTCTTTATCATCAACTCCCCGCTCTCCCTTCCCATACTATAGAATCTACAAGTAAGTTTTGGCTGTACGCTTGCCCTTTCTACCACGCCATATAGAGAAGCAATACAAGAACATGATTTTTTTTTATTTTTTTACATGAATGTTATTGTGTATTTGTTATATGAATTAATAAGATTCACTGTGGCATTCTCACCAATGTATTTCTCATGTCAGTTTATGGTTTCTACTTCCTGGCCTTGTCCACCTTCCTTCTCTCTCCTCCTTTCCTGGTCCATTTCCGAACCCCAATGGACTCTCTTCCATTTTCAGGGCTTTTTGTTGGGAGTTCAGTTTCTACATCTGTCAGAAAATAAGCAATATTTGTTCATGAACCTGGCTTATTTCCACTTAATATGATGATATCCGTTTCCATTGATTTTCATGCATGTGGCAGTATTTCATCCTTTTTTGTAGTACATAAGACTACCATGTGTATGTACACATATACAGCATTTACTTTACCCATTGTTCTACTTAGGGTTACTATTGATATGAAGAAACACTGTGACCAAAAGCAAGTTGGGGAGGATTAGAATTTGGAAGTAAGAGCTGATTCAGCAGGAGTGCTGTTTACTGGCTAACTCCCCATTGCTTGTTCAATCCAGGACAAAATCCAGGACCACTCGTCCAGGTGTGGCCCCACCCATAATTGATTGGACCCTCCCCCATCAATCACCAATTAAGAAAATGACCTACAGCCCCATCTTAGGGAGACATATACCTACTTGAGGCTTCCTCCTTATCGATGACTTTAGCTAGTGTCAACTTCACATAGAACTACCCAGCACACCCATTCTTCTTTAGACCTCCAGCAGGCAGAATCCATCACTTAACTATTGTACATAAAGTCACAGTGAAAAGGAACAGTCAGGAATCACTTTCCTATGCCAAGTTCATTGGCTTTGCAAGTGTATCCACGTGTGCTATGGCTTAAAAACATGGAGGTTTATCATTAATGGAATGAGGATTCACTATATCAGTTTCAGTATTAAGTTAAACTTCTACCAACAATGCAGTGTATGCCTGCCCTTTGTACAACCCCTGCAGGAATGTTTTCATTTTCCTTTTTCTTGGATAATTTTCATTTTCACTGTTGTGAAATGAGCTTCCAGTGTAATACTGATTGGCATTTCTTTGGTGGCTAAGACTATGAGGTACTTTTTCTTATATTTATTGGGCCCTTTGTGTTTTTCCTCTTTTTGAGAAGTGTTTATTAAAATCATTTGTACATTTTTCTTGGGTTGCTTATATTTTGACCTCTACATCTCATATGGATATTGATTTTCTGTCAGATAATAGCTGGCAAAGACATTCCTCCATGTTATTGGATTTTTCTTGCATTCTTATGACTATTTCCCTATGTGATAAAGGAAAAAAAAGTTTTTAACAGAATCCTGTTTACCAATTCTTAAATTTTTTTCTACTGAATTTTGGAATTTTGCCCAAAAACTCATTGCTTGTGCTGGGATCGTGAGATGAATTTTTCTGCTTTCCTCTGGGAGTGTGAATTTCAAGTCTTAAGCAACATTTTTAACACATTTTAAGTTGATTTTTTAGACAAGTTAAGAGAGATTTAGTTTCATTTTTCTACACATCTTTTTCTAGTTTTCCCATACCATTTGCAACAGATAATCTCCTTTCCTCAAATTTATTATACAATGTATTTTCAGTACCCTTGCTGTGACTGGGTGGGTTAAAGATGTTCTGATATATGTATTGGTACTCTGTCCTTCTGTTCCATTGGTCTACTTGATTGTTTATATGCTAAGATCTTGTTACTCTTTCATTCTTTATGAAGATTCCAGCACGGATATTTAAAAATAAGATTACTTTAGTATTCATTGTGTTCTCAAATAATTTTTGGAATTTTTCCTTGTACTATGAAGAGTATCATCTTAGTTAGCATTTCTATTGTTGTGGTGAAACACCATGACAGAAAGCAGCTTGAGCACGAAAGGGTTCAGTCCATAATGCAGGAAACTCAGGGCAGGAACTGATGTAGAGGTCATAGAAGAATACTGCATAGTAGCTTTTTCCTCAAAGTTTGCTTAGCCTGCTTTCTTATAGACTGCAGGACCAACTCCCCAAGGGTGGCACCACCCACAATGGACTGAGCACACCATCAATCACCAATTAAGAAAATGCACCATGGGCTTGCCCATAGGCCAATCTGGTAGGAGCATTTCTTCAGTTGAGGTTCCTTCTTCCCAAATGATTTTAGCTTGTGTCAAGTTGAAATAAATCTAGCTAGCAAAGATATCATGATTATTTTGATGAAGGTTGCATTTTTTGTATGTCTAATTTAGTAATTTGATATCTTGAGTTTTTTTCCACATTTTAATGCAATTCTATTATAAACTTCCATAAACATATACAATGCATTTTGATAATGTTCACTTCCTAGTCATCCCTCTAAATCATTCCAGATCCACCCTTACTCCCAATTCATTCCCAAATTTGTGTCAGTTTTTATTTTTATTTTTATACTCCAGTGAGTCCAGTTTTTGTTGTCCTTATACTTCTGGGTTTAGAGTGTAAGGCCATCCACTGGAGTATCATCAACCTAAAAGCAAATAAAGTAGCTGTCATTCTTGGTGTCTATGAGTTTCCCAACCATGGGTTCTTGACCAGGTTTGCAGTAGTACTAGTCATGTGGTTTCTGCTCTGCAGCCAGCCTTCACTCTAATCAGGAAGTGGTTGTTATCTCCCTTAACATTCATGTCACTATTGTATTCATAGGCAATGTTGTCATGTTGGTCATTATTGTAGCTCATGGTGTTCACAGCTGGGTCAGGCTATTAATAACTTTCCTCCAAAAGCAGCCTAAATAGCAACCACCTCCCAGTGCTATGAAAACTAGAAAACAAGGAAGAATGTTCCTGGTTACTACCTCTGTTTCTCCATGTCGTATGACCAAACTGTGTGGTATCTTCAAGAACAGAGCTCTACCATCAAATTATGATGGACAACCAAAATAAATGATTCCTACAAAAGCCTGAATTTGGGGGCGGTGCTCTCCAAGATACTCCCAAACAACAATTTGAGGGATGGTAACTGAAACCCAGTATTAGGATTTTTATTCTTAAAGCACTCTCTTAATGTGGAATTGTTTATGCCTATGTAAGTACTTTTACTAATTAAAATAAGGAATACAGGCCCTCTAAAATAAATTATAACAATTCTCATCTTGTAATTTGTAATAATCATTTTTTTGTTTTGTTTGTTATCATTCAATAACTGCTAATACAGAATCTTTCACTAGAAGTAATACATAATTCAAGTTCACCCTGGCCTACATAATGAGTTACAGGCCAAACAGGGCAACATAAAGAGACCATGTCAAGAGAGAGATGAAAATGAGGGATGAAAACTGAGGAGACAGAGACAGAAAGACAGACAGAGATGAGACTTGAAGACTTTCAAGATTATTTTCAATAAATGAATTTAAATTAATATATTAATGAAAGAACTATTATTTCATAAAATTGCATGGGATTTTAGTATAATATCAGTATGTACTACTGATAAGCAGATGAACACTGGAAAATTTATTGACAAATGTATGAAATGTTTAGCCTTACGTTATATTATTAGTGTTTCAGCATAGGATGAAGGTGTGATTAACAATTCATTTGGGGGTGGAGCTCAGTGAATAAGTGACCATTTAGTATATATAAAGCCCTGGTATCCATCCCAGCTGCCCAAAAGTCTAGTTAATTAAATGAAATATGAGTGTATACATAGTAGTATAGGAACTGGAGGGACAATACTTAATTTTTAAATGATAATATAATATTTCCTGCTAATGATTTGTGTGAGGAGTTATTTGCAACTCTGTATGTATTTATATACTTAGAGGGTGAAAAAGTGCTAGGAATTACATGTCAAATGAAGTTCATTTTCTCAAATTCTGATTTTTTTCCAAGATGACTCCCTAATTAAACTATTAATGTGAGACTTTCTCATTTTTTAAAATTTATTATATGAAAGAAAAATACTACAAATAAAAGACATTATATATGAAATTAACCATATCCAGAGAGTGAAACTCAGTGACCTTCCTGACAGTCAGAGCAGTCATTCGACAGTGAAACTGTGGAGCTTCACAATAAATTTTTTGCTTTCACTATTGAATATATTTTATGCACTGCCAAAACCAAAAATGAAAAAAAAAATAATGTAAGACTTGAATTAAAGGAGAGAAAAAAATAAAGTGAAAAAATATATGAACACGTGACTGCAACATTCTTGAACAACT